GTCCGCCGGCATCATCGGGGAATTCCGCCCCGTGGAGTGTGGCGTGTGCGATGCCAACGTGCACTGCTTTGCAGCTGCGACGAGGGCGATGTCTGGGTCGTGCCGCTGCCGCTGTGCTGAGGGCGGGTACGGGCGCGACTGCCTGCCGGTGTACCTGCCGCACGTGGACGGGTGCAACCGCACGCCCGCTATGCCGCCGCTGAGCCACACGGCGACGCTGACGGAGACGCGCAGCCCGACACCAAAATGGACGCCGAGCCTGAGCACGGCTCACTACAGTCCGACGCCGTACAGGCCGACGGAGACCCCGCGGGTGACGGAGACGGTGGCGCTGCCGCCCACGCGGACCCCGACGGCGTCGGTGAGCGGCACGCTGTGGTGGAGCGAGGTGGCGTGCCCGACACTCGCCGTGACGACGACGGCGGCTGGTGGGAGCCTGACGCAGAACGACATCCGCGGCGGTGGGAGCGCCGTCCCGACGCTGCTGATGGTGGCGCTGCCGCCGCCGTTTCGGTGGGCACGCGACCCGCGGCTCGGCACGCACCTGAGCTTTGTGCCGGTGTCGACGGCGCAGCCGCGCGGGTTTGGCGGTCCGTGGGGAGCGATGCTGCGCAACGCGACGTGGGTGCGCAACGCGACGAATCCGTCCACCGTCCTGGAGCTGGCTGTGCCCGTGCACCGCGGTTACTTCATTGTTGTCGACGAGACGATAGTCATTCGCTGCGACGCTGTGGCGGTGTTCGGCGGCTGCAAGGGTGTGCTGCTTGGGTCCTTCACGATCAGGTCCGCCACGCTGCCCGCCGCCGCCAGCGCCCTCTCGGCGATCACCGGCGTTGTTGCGGGTGCGGCGGCTGTTGCGGTGGTGGTGACCGGCGGGCTGGGCTCCGTCCTGGAGATGCAGGCGCTCGGCGTGTTTGCGAGGATGCCATGCGCCTCGGCGCAGGAGCGTGCGAGCACCGTTGCGCTGCCGTACTTCCTGTCGGTGTTCGCTGCCCTTGATCCGCTGTGGATGGTGGTGGGCAACGCGCTGCTCGCCGCTGTGTTCGGGTGCGTGCACTGCGGTGTGACGGCGGCCTTCCAGCGGTGGCGCGGCGTGGACACGGCGAGTGCGTGGGCGGCGATGCGCTTCCCGAGCCTGACGTACGTCGTGGCGCACGCGATGCATCTAGGCATATTCTTCGGCTCCGTGCTTGCACTGGCGATGCCTGGCGCCCGCGGGCATCACCGCGTGATTGGTGTTGTTGGCGTGCTGTACGGTGTGGCGTTCCCTGCTGGTGTGTGCTACTTGATTGCCCGCCACGTGGGCGCGAGCTTCACGAGGTACTGGCAGTTTTCGAGGAAGCCGCTGCACGAGCGCCTGCTGTACCCCGTCGGGTATTGGCACCCCGCGGCGCAGCAGCGGATGTACGGCGGACTGCTGACGAACATGAGGGGCAGCCACGTGTGCTGGTGCGTGTTCCAGCTGTCGGTGCTGTGTGTGGTGGGCCTGATTGCGGCTGTGCACCCGCCCGTGGGAGGCTGCCACGTCCAGTACTTCTGCATGGCGGCTGTGCTGCTTGCGTGCGCGGGCGTGATTGCCTTCACGAACATGATGCGCTCGGCCTTCCTGACGGTGATGCACACGGCGAGCTTTGTGCTGCTTGCGGCGCTGTGCGTGATCAGCGCGGCCAACCATCTTGCGCCGAGCGACGGCGGTGCGAGGGCGTACGCGGCGATGGTGCTGCTGCTGACCACTGTGCTGCTTGCGATCACTGTGTACAGCGTGGTTGTGTGGTACGCGGAGGACCGCCACTGGCAGGAGCTGCGCGAGCCGCGGCGTGGTGGGCTGGAAGCGCTGCTGCGCGATGGCGAGGAGAGCGAAGAGGTCGTGCAGAAGCCGCACGAAGCAACGACATTGTCGTACGCCTCAGGCGCCACCGTTACGTCGTCGTACCGGCCACCCGCAGCGCCGTAGCAGCCCATGGCCGGTGACACCCGCTCCGACACTCTGAGCCTGTTCGACGGTGCACCCAGTGCGAGCTGCAGCATTAATTATGCCCTTCTGAACAGGTGAAGATGCTCTGCTTGACGAAGAAATTATCGCAGTTTCCCCTTTTGGGGTGTAAAGGCCCCGACCCAACAGTTTCTTTACGCGGCGAGAAGACACAAAGCACCTTGCAGATGCGGCATAACGTGGATGCTTCTGGCAGATACCTTTTCTCTTTCCATTATTCATAGATATATCGGGTGATTTTTTTGTTGCTTTTACTTTATTTTTATCGATTATCGACGACAACGGATTATCGAGCTATCACACTGGCTCGGGGCGGATGCGTAACGTGTGTGTGCGTGTGCGTGTTTTTTACGCTCTTCGCTGCCGCACCGAGTATGGGGGCTGTTGCTCTCTCTTTCATATCTATACTCAGTAATGAGGAGGTGCTTGACGGCGGTGACTTGCTTGCGGATTATAGGAGTTATTTAATAAAACTTTAGGGATAAAAAACGATAGTGCCCTCCTGTGATTTTCACTACGTAGAATTTGGAGGCATGCGGTGCTGGTAGATTAGGGGAGGGCGCGGGGCCACGGCTGTGCAGCTGCGCAGCCACCGATCGTACTCCGCCCCGAAAGCGTCATTGATTGTTGGTTTTTGTTGGTTTGTTTCTATTTTTTGTGCGGGTGCCTGCAGTGACTCTCTCTCCTGTTGCACGATGACTGTGTGGGAGGGCATGCCTGTCGCTTTTTATGCTTCTGATGCTATGTAGAAAAAACAAAAAGAGAAAGAAAGAAGAATTTTGCGGAATGGCGTATTGCTTTGCTTATATATCG